ACATCTAAATCTCATGAAGTGAGCCATTTTGCTTCTCTTGCATGGCAGTTGGTTGAATTTTTTTTTGCCTATCTCGTGTTTCTTACTTTCATTGTTCGCAGACTTACTTGCGATTTTGGGCCAAATCACTGAACTGTCCCATAGTATCGGTGGAATATTCGCTGGCGCCAGAGAATCCATTTCCGCGTCCAACCGAAGAAGTATTATATGCGTATGCCTATATTATCAATAATGCTCCTCAGCTGGGTTCGTATTGCTTTTTGCATGGTTACTCGATCGCTTGCTCATGAAGTTTGAATTCCTTCAAATTGCTGCTAAGCCAATGTTTCAACGAAATATGTGTTTCAGGTTGGAGTGGTGAAAAAATATGTATGGTTGGCGATTCTGCTGGTGGTAATCTGATAATGTCGGTCAATCTCAGACTTGTACAGTTGGGACTGAGAAGGATACCAGATGGCATTGTTACCATCTATACTCCATTTCTGTTCCAGGTTCAGCACTCGCTTTTTATTCGTAAATCAAGAATGCATTAAAAAAATGTGAGGCTGTTTGCCTTATCAGTTTGTTCATCAGAAATCTGTTAAATTTTAGTACCTTCCGTCGCCATCTCGATTGCTTAGCTGTATGGACCCGCTTCTTCATATGGGAGTAGTGTTGCGATGTGTTGCCGGTATGTTGCTTGTAGCCAGTTATTTTTTTATATTCATCACTCACCTCTTATTGCCATTGTAGTAAGCATTTTAAGCATATACGGGAAAACCGTCGAGTGAAAGTGTAAATGGTTTGGCAACGAACGAACAGAAGGAGGCCGATAAAGCTAGCCATAAAAGCTTGCAAGAATATGTGGAACAAGTACAGAAAGCGCAGAAGGGTGATCCTGTCGGTTTGGAGGTCGCATATAATTCTTGTAAAAATCTTCGATACGTTAGCTGCTCACAGTGGCATCGTTATACCGTCTCCTTTTGCAGGGCTCCTCTTCGATTGTTTCTTTAGTCAATTTGGCTGATATGGCAACAGCACCAGAAGTTCATAATGCAGCTGTACCAGCCAAGTCCGAAAACCGAACGGAATTGAGTGATGATAATAATTTGAGTGAAGGAGAGGAGGACGAAAACGATGCCTACCTGTCCGCTGTTCAGGTCATTTTCTTCTGTTCTTTTAGATTAGTTGAAGATCCAATTTAACAGTGTGCTTGTGTGAACTACAGGTGCAAGTAAAAACCTATTTGCACTTTTACTAATCGTCGAGAAAACTGCTTTTTATTTGTTGTGGAAATTATATTTTTTTGAAACGTGCCTTCAGTAAAACGAGACCGATTTTTGTAGGTGAAATCAGACCCGTTGCATATCCATCTCTCGTCGAATATGTGTGACCGACGACTCGTTGATTATTTGAAAGTACATCCGCTTACCAAAGAGTAAGTCCACATCTTTTTCCTAATTTTTTTTTTGTTTTGTATGGGCCCAAATTGACTATATTTGTGGTCTTCCGGTTATCTGAACAGTGATCGGATATTCGTCATTTCAGTTCTTTAATTGTTTTGGATCGCAGCGGTTGTTTGGAACTCTCGGAAGTAAAGGAAGAACTGTCACCTGAAATAGTTGAGGAAAGCAAGCCAGCTCCTCGTGCGTCGAAACTGGCAGCTTTCATATGTTCATCACTAACAACAAGCCCAAAGGATTCACCCACAGAACCGATTAAACCTGTCGAAAGTTCAATGCGTTCTCGTCTGATGGTGACTTCTCTGAGTTCGTATTGCATCGCCTCCAAGAATGATTCGCTGGTATGCGTTAGAACTGAGTAAAATTCCTTTGCTTCCATGTGCAGTGCGCATTTTTAGGCCAGGACATCTTAAAGATATTCTGTATATCTTATAGCTGCGTAATTTTTAGGCGAACAAGCGAACACTGAGTCAGAGTCTTGCGGATACAGCGGTTATGGCTGCTGGGCATGCACTGGATAACATTTCTGATTGGCTGGAAAAGTCAGCACCAGCAGCGGCGGCCGATAAACAGAAACTCGATCGCGCCGCTTCTTTGACACCACTTATGGCCGAGAAATTCGAAGGAAATGTAAAGACATTTGATTTTTGATTGGCGCTATTGTTCATCTTGAGTTGCTTTAAGGAACTTCTAATTTTAGGAGGCTGAAGAAAGTGACGGGAAGTCATACGTTGCTGATATAGTGAAGAGAAAAGTCCCAAGAGATCCACTGATATCGCCGATGTATGCATCGCCAGAAGATCTCGCTCGCTTGCCTCCGGTTTGGTTCGTGGTATGTTGGCTTTACAGCCTATCTTACTTTATACATTAATTTGTGCATTAGTTTTGTTAATTTTTGTAATTGTGAATGAATCAAGAGAAAAAATTTGACAAAAAATAGACAGGTAAACAGAAGTTATCACGAAATTTTTGTAGTGGATTGCTGAGGGGAGAGATTTGATCTGTGCAATGGATTTAGTTCAGCATGGGCGAGACATTTTGCACATTGCTCATAACTTATGGCTCTCTGATGGTAGTTGATTTCAGGCCTGTCATCTGGATCCGCTTTTGGACGATACAATCACATTTGCCAAAAAAGTGCGCGATTCTGGTGGCCGAGTGATGTGTGTTGATCTCCTGGATAATCTTCCGCATGGTTTTCTCAATTTCACACTTGTTTCTCCGGAGTGCCGGGAAGGTTCTAAAATTTGTTTGGGTCGGATTAAAGAGGCTTTTGGTATGAATGGAACTTCCGCAGTATCATGAAGTGGCACTTCTTTTTTAAATGATTTCATAGTTCGGCTTTTTTACGCCTTCTGTTCCGTTTGGTGCGAAAATTTTCTCGCTGTGATCGTTGCTGGAAAATTCGAATTGCAGTAAAGGTTTTACTGCTTCTCATGTACGGATACTGCCGGTGCTTTTTGAGTTATTCTGTGCTGTGAAACAAATCTGTATTTTGTAGAGAATTGCTGCTGCTGTTCGCCTTTCCAGTTGAAATCTTCGCAGATGAAGAGAGAGATATAACTGTAGAAATAATGAAATGGAGTGTTGGGGATTGCCCGGGATGTCATGTGAACTGTACTATAACACTGTATTCATTACAATACTTAGTCACACGTGGTGGTTTTTGGGTAATTACTTTGTGAGGACTGTGGGAGGCCCGGAGGGTCTTTCATCACAGGGGATAAATAACTCATTAATGTAGATGTGTTTTGGTAGTCTATATTTCGTGTATGTTTAGGGCGTTTTATTAGGATCTGGTAAATTTTATGCAGTTTTTCTGTAACAGCGCATTGTGTGTGCCTGTGTTTTAATGGTAATTCAGTAATCTGACTGCTAGAAATTTCTAAATTTTTCTGTATTTATACTGGTTTGTTTTTGGGAATGATGACTTTCTTTTTTGTGCTTTTATCCTGTGCTTCCAAAATCTTGTATAACTCGGTTTGTTTTTGTGTGTAATGGTATGACCAGTACGGTGATTGTGTTTCTGTAATAAGACTGTGATATGTGGTATCCAGACTTTGATCCGGTTGTACTTGGTGTATCAAATATAAATAAATTCAAGGTTGGTTGAGTGTAGTACAGGAATAATTTGTGTGCATTTAGCGCAATTTGAGTAAAATGGCCTCTTGTTTTGTGTTCAGAAGCCCGCAAACTCTTTGAAGAGACAGAGAATAAGGAAAATTGATGAAGTTGATGACTGGGGTCCTAACTTAAGTAATAACGAATTTGGTTGGAAGGATGCGGAGCTGGCAATGGCAAGGCTCGACAGCAGCTGCATCGAGAGGCGTGATTAACGTACTAAATTAAAGGGGAACAAATTATTAGAAGAAAGAAGCTCCGCGAACCGCATAAAAGTACGGCTTCCACACCGATCCTTTTTTTAAACGATTTCTATGGTGGTCTACAGTACTGTTATTACAAGAGCCTATTCAATGTGCTGCGGTTCGATACGTTGCTGAAAGGACGGAAAGCATTATCTTCATAGTTTACTAACCCTCGCTGCGGAATTGTGGTATTTTCACGGTAGAAACCAGTACAGTTCGGAGTGATTTCTGGATAAACAGCAATGCAGCTGTGAGTCACGCATTTATGTATTTTCGCGATAACTTTTTGCAACCTCATAGTGGACAAATGCGACAAAATATGCATGAGTTCATTTTGTAACGGATTTTTAACTGATTTCTCGGATGGTAACAATCACCCCAATCAAAAATAATGAATAAGGATTTCGCGATACTGTGATGCATTCACTGACTAAATTGTGACATGGTACCAAGTCGCGAGAAGTCGCTGAAGCAAGACACGATCAAAGAACAAACTTTGTTTGGCGTAACCATGAACTGCTATGGACGTATATGTCCAGTAGGAATTGGAAATGAAGAAAAGCGCCACAAAACCAAAAAGTGCACAAAATCCATCCCAACAAAAGGGACTAGTGTTGAAAGAGAGAAATGTGACCAAATGGAATACATTCTGACCTTGCTGATTTCTAGAGAGAAGTTCGAAAAAACCGGGTAGCCAAACCCGTTAACTGAATAGTGGTCACGCTGATATGAATGGCCGTGCCCCTACTGTTTTAACATCACTAAAGAAATCAGGGTGGGATTAAGCGAGCTGTTCCTTGAGAAGAGAGAGAGAAAGTGTTTTTGAGTCAAAAAGATTTTTGGGGTCGAAAGCAATTATTTCTCAAGGTGCACCTTGACATTCCAGTTCTTTGCAATTTGCTGTTTGATGATAAAATTCCTCTGCCTTAGATATCTACCTTATTTGCAAATTATTTGGGCAGTACACCCTACAGGAAAGTAAACAACAGAATAAATTGATCTTAATTGTCTGAACCCCAACTGCAGTGCCAGCGGCAGCATAAGCGTGAACAATATCCACTCATTCTGGAAGCATGAAGTTTCCCCCCTAAATTCGCTATGTATGAAATTAATTGGAAACGAGAACTAATTTTTTGTGCTTCTGGTTTCGTACCTCACTGAGAACGGTACTTCCGATTTTCAGTATCCCTAACTCTCGTGATTTTTGAGGTGAATCATGCTAATAAGCAGACAAGCAGGGACGCGCGAGACAGTATTCCATCATACTTTTTGTTCAAAAACGCTTTTGAAAACGGGTTTTTTAACGTAAACAAGACACTTTGAGTCACTGCGAAAGGGTGATGACGGCATATAACAAGGGCAAAGAAGGATGAAAACATAAAAACGTTAGACTAACTGAGGATGCATGCTAAGATTGTCAGATATACGGCATGTCATCCAAAAACACTAGCAGCGCATAGGACCAAACGCTACTTTACTGCGGTTCAGCGAGTCGGTTTGGCTTCTGAACTTCTCTAAGTGTGGCATTTGGCTTAATAATAATGAATGCGTGGAAATGGGAAAAAAACTCTCAAAATTTCGAATACATAACTTAGCTTATAAAATAAAAATTTTTGGTGATGCGGGCGGTCCGTGCGATCACGCGTTTTTGCTGTATCTCGTGCTGTTGTAAGATCGCTTGAAATCACAATAGCTAGCATTTGTGACATATTGGTCCTCGAACTTCAGATCGTGCAACTACCATGTGTATTTGGAAAGGAAATATTCCGTTAAAATTTCACTTTTCCAGCTTTCTTGGTTCCCGAGTTAGCGATTTCCCGCCTTAACTTTCACTTATTCACACGCGGCGCCCAGACGTGCATGAGAGTTGGTACCGCAGTCCGGAGGCGGCACTTGACCGGGGAGCCCGCTGGAAAAATTTTGGCTCCGGAGCTTGCGTGGTTGCCGACTTGAAATATCCGGACAGGCGCGCGCACACACACGCACACACACACAAACATACACACACACACACACGCACACCAGGGATTGTCGCTATATGCGTTTTTGCTCGCTGTAGCAGCGCTTTAGCGCTTCACAGCAAAAACGCGTAATGAACCTGAAGCACCTCGATCGCAATGTACCTAAATGTGGTCGCGAAGTAGTGATGCTTGCGAGCGAGACATCGTTAAAATTCGAAGTCCAAAACATCGTTAAATTTCGAAGTAGCTAAAGCCTTACCAAAGTTTTTTTCGGATGAGCCATCAAGTCAGTAACCTCTTCAGGAGATGAAAAGAACTCAGGAACCAAAAAAGCTGAGAGGTTGAAATTTCGAGGGGATGTTACGCGTTCGTGTAGTGTCCATGAAACGAAGAAAAAAATAAAATGTACTCGGGGAACACACACACACGCACACTCAGGGCATAGACAATACGCGTAAAATGGCATGTTTGTCTGTAACGCCACTAAAGGATTGCTGAAGAACTTGTATCCGTTTCAAATGTCAACTAAAAATCGGAAGAAATGAGTCAAGTCACAGAGGGTGACGTAAGTTAATTTGCTCGTATGTGACCAAGGAACTAAGCTTTCAAAATTTCAAACTTTTTACTTTTAAACTATAAAATTTGACTGTCGACTTGAGCTCAAGTGTCAGGACATAGAGCGACGTGAAAGCAAGTTCCAGATTTACAGGGCATACATGTTCGGATTCCTGGTCTTGAAATTTCATCTCTTTAGTTTCAGCAGTTCCGGAGCTGAAAAAATGTGAACAGGTAGACGGATGCAGCCGTCAGTTAATACTTTTGTGTGCGTTAAATTAGTAATGCAAAAACACACTGAAGTGGAAAGGCGGTAACGTTGTGGATCGGAATCAACTTTAACTGCAGATCGTGCGCCGTATTAATCAGAGCAGTGCGTTGGAGCACTTTGCTTCTTTCGTCATGACGGAGTCAGAAACACATGGGATACCATCACTTCTGACTATAAATTCAGTATTGCGTACCCATAGCCACTGGTCGTGTCGTCAGTTGTTAGCAGACTCTATGAAATTCACATATATTTCACTCCGGGCATTTAAAGTGAACAGTGACTACAGAAGACGTTCAAATGTTAAAAGATGCGTAAGATACTCGCATGGGCCACTGTCACTAAGTGCTGCCACAAAGTGATACCATTATTGCCGGAGTGGTCACTGCCACAGACACTCAAACCAAATTTTGCATCCACTCGGATGATTGGCCGGTGGTCCATTTTCAGTCACCGAATGTGGGGCTCAGATTTTCAGTGCTAACGACTTATTCAAACGTGCACTGGGCAAAAAAAGTATCGGTGGATAAAATGGCATGTAATTCATGTATGCCCTGCCCCAAGTGCATATGTATATGTACGTGTGTGTGAGTGTGTGTGTCTGTGTGTGTCTGTGTATGCGCCATCAAATCAAACACTGAAAGTGTTGCTATGGAAGCGCCTGATGAGAGGAAATACGGTAGGTCGGCATTTCCGAGCAGTAGCTTTTTCCGGCCAGTGCTTTTGGGTGTTGAAGTTAAGTAAACCAATAGCGAGCCTGCCCTCTCAAATCACTTCAATGTGTTAATGCAAACAATCGCTAGCGCTATCTCTGTCATTCACCACTAACGGTCCAAATTCATAGATGGATTACCCGCATTTAGCTTCCGCGGAACGACGCATGAAACACGAAAAGGAGCTGCAACAAGCAGCATCTCTAGGTTTGTTCAGTTGACAATCGTTGTTGTGGCTGTTATTGTGAGTGGTGGCAATGATGGCTGGTGGACAACAATCTCGATTGAAAATGATGCAGGAAATTGGGAAGGATGTGATTTTCAAAGAGACCCCACCCCACTGCTTTTCCCTCTTTGCGCATAAATCGCTCTGCGGAATGACGGAAATGCTTAAGAATTGTGTATATATGTGTGCGCTAGATTTGGCTTTGGTTCATATTCAGGAAGCGAAGAAAAAGCTTTGCCGGTTTTCCTCATTTATGCCCCCTTCCTTCTTCCGCTTTTTTTTTCAGCTCCACATCCTTTTCACCACCTCCTCCCCGCAGCTTCAATACCCGTTTCCTGTCCCCAGCTCCCGTACCGGATATTCGCAAAATTCACTCATTCATTGCCACAAACATACTCCAGTCCAACCAGTTTTTCATTTGCCTCTTCGTTTAGTTTAATCAGTATATCTTCTCAGCCAGATTTTTTTTTATCTTTATCTAAAGGACCATTTTACTTAAGCGGTTACTACCCGACAGCCTTTCGCCTGCAAATTTTTCATATTTGACCGCCATTTCTATGAATGTCGACTTATACATGTATGTATTGGATCTACTTGTAGGTGTTAAAAAAGACACGAAAGGAATTTGACATAACGATATTGCGAGCGCAATTCTGCAGCAACGAGCTACTGTTTTTGGGGCAATTACTTCCTAAGCCTTCGTTTTTTATTAACTGGAACAATAGTAGCACGAAGCAGGAGGCCAACGCAATTAGACGTTTTTGCTACAGAAACGGTTGCTGGCACTCAGTAAACAAATAAATGCATACGGAAGTTTTTCACGAAAAACTTGTATCAACTTGGCAAAAAATTTTGTGGCTTTTTTGCAAAAGTGAAAGGGATTTGGTGATCTGCTTTAAGCCGAAATCAGATCATAAGATCTTCCTTTGTTTTGAATTAGTGTCAGACTCAGGCCCAGGCTAATTTTACTGTTTCAAAAAGGAAATTTTTGAATTTGCATGAAAAGCAGCAAAGTTTCAGTTACTTGGTTTGCTTCCTTCTGGTTTTTTGTTTTGACTCCAGTTTTAACGCGTGGCTATATTTCAAAAAACAGTGAGAGTGGTAAGCAAGGTGCAGTTTATTTAAGCCGTTTTTCCAAATTGGTTAAAAGTCCAGAATTTCAAGTTTCAAGTTTGCCTTATTTCGAAGCTGGTAAATTCGCCTGGGCATGGTTCCAGCTAAGGTTGTAAGAAGAATATAATTTAATT